TTTTTTTCTTATCCTCTTTAACAGTTCATCTCCCTGCATATTGTCATTCAATCAGTGTTTGTTTAGTTATAACTTGAGAAATCTGTGTATCTGTATCGACTCTTCTTCTCATCAGGTTCAGACTTGGCAAAGCTGGGTCTTTGGCTATGAAGTGAAGGATTTGGGGTATGTGACCAATGCAAGTGTCCTTGGATACAGTCCTCTAAAAAAAACAAAAAACAAACGCTGCTTACTCTGAAGGTGGTGATGCTATGCACAGGATGTGTGCTGATTGATTGAAAGATTTGCTTGAACAAACAATGGATTGACAGCAGAGTTCACCATGAAGGGGAAGAAGTGTGAAAAGTATCAAAAGTCAAAAATAAAGAAGTACAAATGGTGGTTGGAGTGAATTGTTCTGGTGGTTTTGAACATTTGGTTTCTTTGTACGTTTTCACTTCTGTAATCTAAAGAAACACCCAAAACAAACAAAAAGTAGCCAGTAGTAGTTGTTGTATTTTTTGACATAACCATTGATGACAACACACTGATGCAACATGCGGATACTGGTCTGCAAAGCTCTGTGTAAGATCAATACAGAACCTTTACAAGACACTGAAGTGGAGTGCTGAGTGTGTGAAGTCATTTGAATGAACAGGTCTTACTTTTTTTTTCTCACTAGAAGTTGTTCTTGAATGTCAGTATTTCCCCTACAGTGACACCAGCCATGTGTTTGACTGTGCTTGTGAAGATATTGAATTAAAATCTTGCATTACCAAGTGTCAGAACCTTAATTTTGGACATGACAACTAAATGCCAAAATCCTGACTTGAATCTTAAATTTTAACCCTAAAAAAACTCTTTTCTTAGGTTTGTTCTTTCTGATAGTAATAAACTCAAACTGGTTCTTGCAAATACAGCTGAACATAAATGTATTTAGTTTAGTGCCTCATGCTATAAAAAGGCTCCTGAGATCATGCTGCAAATCCAGGACATTTATTGGTGTTACAGTTTATCAAACTTCTTTAGGGATTTAATCCATCCCTCAGCAGGCCTGCAATACTAAATACCTTCACTCACTTGTGTTATTTTAATAAGCAGTTTATATTTTCAATAGCCGTAATCACTCAAACACACTTGGTATGTGTATGCATGTAACTGGACTTTCAAAATAATAACTTAGTGTGTGTGTGTGTGTGTGTGTGTGTGTGTGTGTGTGTGTGTGTGTGTGTGTTTTTTAGTGGACATCTGTAAATTGTTGCTACAAAAATGAACTGGGTTACACTCTTATATGACAATTAAAAATTAATTGCTTGCAGCTGAACTTCATTACTATATAGAGACAGAGTTATTTAGCTTACCCTCATTTAACAGAAAGAGTAGGATACTCGTTTTGGCGTTTAAAAAAGTAAATGCCATATTCATGAACCCCCTGTTGTAGTCCCTTAGAATAAATTGCACCTCCTTTTGATGCTCAAAGTGCCAAAAGAAACCTTTGAACAACTCAGGAGAACTGTCTTCTTAAATATTATGACTCAGTTATTTGAAAATGATCAGGATGTTGTATGAGGAACTTTATTTTTCGTACCAAACTATATCTGATAAGCACTTTGCTGTTCAGAAATATGGGTGTATCATGACAGGATATAAGCATGAACAGATTCCTGTTTGGCTAAGTTACAGTATTTGTTACTGGCATGTTTCTCTTGGCTCAGATGTTGTTCGACTTACAAAAAAAAGCGCTGCAATTTTTTTTTTTTTTTTTTTTTTTTGTTTTTTGTTTTGTTCAAAATCTCATATAAATGAAACAAACTTTAAGATTAGTTCTAGCAAATTTTATTTGACAGAAAATACATTTTTAAATGTAGTGTAGTTGCTACACAAGAAATAATTATGACAAATATTTGTTTTATGATTTGTATGATGAATTGTACTTCTGTAAAATTTCTATTTCTATTTGTGGTGAGGCTGAATTGTGTTAATAGGGTTGTATTTTACGGAAAACACCATCATCATAGAGGGTGTTGATTTTGTGGAGACAATGAAGTGAATGTATAAACCAGCCAAGCCTAGTGGTGCACACCTTCTTCACTTGTTTAGAAACAGAGCTTTGGGAGTTTCTCTTCATATGGTTTATAAATAGGTAACAGCTTGTTTTGTAGCAGAAAGTCCTCTTAACCAAGTGGCATTATCTCCGGTCCTTCAACTAAAGTTGCAGACGCTCTCAGCTCAAACAAAGTCAGGCTACAGCAGGCGTCTAAATGTTTTACTGCTGGGGAGGGCTGCATCTGTGAGTTTGGACCTTAAGCTCTTAATCCTGCTCATGCTACGTTTGCTTGCGCGCATGTCCACATTTATTTATTTATTTTCAATAACGGACACTCTTGTACAGTGGAGTGACCTTTCAGTCTGCTTATATTGTAGTTTTTTTTTCTGAATGTATTTGATAAAAATAAGTTTTGGTTTCTAAAAAGAGATTTGAAGTTTAAGTTAAAAAAAAAAAGAAATCTAAGCAAAACACAAACCCTCCCCAAATGGTAAAACTGAATGATGTTAAATTTGAATTAAATTCAGATTTGTTTGTTAGGTTATTTATTATTATTTTTAGTACAGTAAATTTTATTTGCTCAGAACATCCACCTCAGTATAATACATGGAAGATCAGTACTTGTATGTGACATTGATCAGAAAAATGTTATTAATTTTTTCAGCTTTATTTTCCCTGTTGCTGATATGAGTCTCTGAATCTTTTACTGCTATATTTAATTGGCATCCACATTTTCATCACGTAATCTGGCAACGTCACTATAAATATTATCGAGGTCATTGCAGAGTTGACGTGACCACAATGTGTTTGTTTTTTTTTTCTTATAAGAATCTAGACATTTATTAGAGGGCGTCTCATGAATAAGGTAGTATATCTTCTCAACGGTGTTTTTAGTGTTTATTATGTGAAAGTGCTGTTGGCTCTACCCTTCTAACTAGCTTTAATCTTGGCTTTTCTCACTGAATCTTGCACATCTTGTACTTTGAAGTGCTTTTTTAGTATTTATTTATTTTTTTACCTTGAGATTTGCCCAAGTATAAAGTTGATCATAGATGCTGTTACTTGTTCACACTGCTTGGATATACTGTTTTTACGATTTAAGATTAAAAAGGTTGAGTTTAATGTAATGAATAGAGTACTTTTTTCTTCTTTTTTTAAACCAGTGAAGTGAATTTTGACAGTTTTTTCAAAATGTATTCATTTATTTATTTTTAGTACAGTCTCAGCAGAGAATGTGAATACTTATGACCTTATTAATTTGTGTTTTTGGACACAATCTGAACACAAGTTGTTTTTTTTTTTGCCACTCACGTCAGAGACCACAGATTGAGTTGTACACATCAGACTTCATGTGCAGTGGTTGACACAGTTATGCTGAATTTACAACTAAAACAAATGAAAACACTGTTACAAAAAGGAATGAAGCACAAGAGTTGCTTTATCGTGTTGTCATAATTTTATATTTAAATTGTTTATCCATTTCAGCATGTTTCTAAAATTGTTCTCCAACACACATACTTACCCTCGTTCAAAGTAACTGAGTCTTCCTAACACAGCTTACTGTTCTTTCAGATACTCTTTAGAAGATGAGCCCTCTAACTTGGATGAAATGCCCCTGATGATGTCGGAGGAAGGCTTTGAGAATGACGAGAGCGACTACCAGACTCTACCCCGGGCCAGAGTCAATCAGAGACACAGTGGCCTCGCCTGGTTCCTCCTGGGAGGATGGAAAGTCCTGTGTGGGAGGTACTTCTGCACCATTGTTGTTAATATGTTGATTTAATAATTATTTTTTATAGTGACGGTTTAGGCAAAATATTGATTGTTTACATTTTGGGTTATGTATCTGGGTGTTTTCTGATTATTCACTCAAGCCCTACTATTTTTTAATAGGAAAATTCAATGAAAGCCTTTTAAGCAAAAATAGATTAACCATGTTTTCAGTGAAGTTTCTATTTCTGATCCCTGCTGCAACCACATATTTTTTTACCTTCTGCCAAACACTGCACCACCTTCTTGTATGTTTTCTAAATAAACTTAAAGGAACCTGTAATATAATTTTCTAGCAATTAGACTACTTGAATAATATTTGTAATAGAAGCTTGAACATAACAGATCTGTAAACACACAAAAAATAGATTGCAAGTTCACTCTGGGATATAAAATGGATTGTGCTTGTAGCCCAGTAGTCTTTGCTAAATAACATATTTTCATAGCAAAATACTCGGATATGTTTTGCCAAATGCTTTACTGACGTCGCCTTATTTTTAATCTACAGACTAGAGTAGTCCAACTGGACATTTAACATTTCCGACAGTCTTTCTGTAAATGCAAGCGTATTGTATAATGTCAGCAAGCATGCTTGTGATGATCAGTTTGGATTTCAAACGCACTGGTAGCTGTGCATGAAGTGCAAAGAGAGGATAAGGGCATGTTTTTTGGTCGGGTTCCTCGATGCGCACCATCAGTCCAAAAAGATTTTCAGGTCAAACAGAACAGGGTGGTTTATCCGACTAATGATTTATTTGACAGGTTTTGCCCTCTAACGACGCTCCTTTCAGGCTAAGAGGACTGTTTGTTTGTGTACATTTATAAACACTTGTTTGTGTAGTACTCCAGTGCCCAAAATGTAACATTCACCGCTGCTGCAATTTCATAGCATATTCGGTTTTCAGTTCAGTTTTGTTGGTAGTGGTACGTGTCCAATTGAAGCTGCATATTGATCCCCCTCCCCATCCCCCCACTAATGAACAAATCGGATTTTTCACAGCTGACCAGTTTGATGCTTTCCAGTAATTTTATGTGTGCATAGTGTGGGATTATAAAACACAAATAATTCACAGTGAATAAGCCCCGACTGTTCAAATGGCATATTATTTGAATAGCATTCATTTGCTCAAATAATCGCTCTTATGAATCTGGACTCAGAGTGCACAGAGACAGAGAACGTCGAGGCCAATACAAACAGGACTTTTTACCAAAGTTGATTTATTTAGTTTCATGTTTTGCCAAGTTGCTTAAAATGTGGAAAAGCCAAGCCGTTCAGCATGACGGTATACACTGACACTCTCCCCTCTTTCCCCCCAGGTGCCAGTTTAGGTCATGCTCAGATCACGCTGCTCTCATTGAAATTTACCCGCACACTATGCCACTGTTTGCGTTTGATATCAGATATGGGAGATAAGCCCCCATTGTAGTCATTACCAGGTTGATGGAAAGTCACTTACTTTTTGAAAAGTAAATGTCGATCTGAACCCGTCTGTCGTTATTGAGTTTTGATAATATGGCGGTAATGATGTTAGTGCATACAAGCAGAAATAGACTAGGGGTAAAACTACAAACTGCATATAAAAGTCAAGTTGTTACATCTGCTGCTGTGTTGGCGTTTGTTAACTGCGGAGGTGCAACACATAAACATAAATATCGACTTCTCAGTGCTCAGTACCAAACTAATAAAATGTTAAAAATGGAAGTTCAGTAAAAGTAAGGCACAGGCTTCTTGGACAATATTTATCACCTGTTCAGCAGACACACACCTGTGGGCACGCGTCTCAGTCGAAGCAACGCACCACTATTTTTAAGCCTTGATAGTATCCAAAAATTATTCAGTGTGGAGTTGTTATGATGGAGGAAATTACCAATTGTATCAGATTGCAAACTTGCATTTTAACATTTATATCATGGGAATTGTTTCACTTTTTGAATCCGCCCCAAGTGGCCACTGGTGGAACTGCAGTTTTTAGCTTTTTTATGTTGCCTTCTTTTTAACCTCAGAGGTTGCTGTTTGGGTAAAACTAACAAAACTAATGCGTGTCAACCAATTTCATGCAGTAGTTTGGTTGTATACATGCAACATGTTTGACTCTTAAGCTTAAATTGATTATCCAGCTCTGAACTTGTCTGACTTTTAACATAATTACCAAGGGATTTCCCACCAGGAGAGATGCTAACCTTTTTAGATGATTCATAGCGTTAAAAGCAAAGGACCTCTTTATACAAGTGGGTCAAAAAAAAAGCCTTGAAGATCTAATTTACACTGATGAGACCTGGAATATAAATCACATCAGTACTGTAGGACGCAGCAGAACACAGCTGTGAGGCTCCATGGCTACTAATGGTTTAACAGCTGAGAACGTTAATGAGAATGAATAAACCAATTTGAAGTGGACGTCACGGTTGCGTCACTGTAGTTGCAGATAAACAGGAAACTGGTGAAAGATGCAAGAAAACTGGTGAATCTAAGGAAAAACTAAAAATGTCTTTTTCTGCTTCTTTATTTATTGCAGAATATAAATGAAGAGAATAAGATGGCCTGCTGTTTGGTTCATGTTTGCAATTTTGATAAGAATTGTTTTTCTTTTATATATAGTATTTTTTTATATATGTTTACACACACAGTTGCTGTTGAATTGTGAGTTATTGATATTTATAGAGCTAGTTGAGTCTTTCTCTCACATTTATATTACTAATGTAAATTTTCGTTTCATTTTTAAGGGAAGACAGTTGTGTTGCCTCGATGTATCAGCAGCAGCCATACCATCCTCTCCCATTGCACAACCCCCTCATTTAAATGAACATGTTTGAATAGACATATTCACTCAGTGTGCACCACTGTTGCCACAAAGAAGCTGGCTTTACTTTGGAAACCCCCACCTCCAGTTACAAAAGCCCAATGGATTACCACATGTACTAATATAATTAGTAGGGAGCTATTAGTGACGTTACTGCACAGTGCTAGAGCTGGCACTGTTTAAGCATTGTAAGCAAGGAAGGGCAAAATCACAGATTTGCTTTAATCGCTTTTTCTATGTATTGCTTGAATTTGTATCCTGTGTTGTGCAAACTCTACAGAGATCCTCAAAGTCGTGTATTACCACAGAGTTTATTTTTTCTGTTTATTGGTTATATTTTTATCTTTATTATTTTAAGCTCAATGTGTCCGGAGAAAGTTTTGAGACTTTTTGACATCAATAATAATTTAAAAACAAACTCACGCAGTTACAGAGTGATTACTGAAATGTAAGAAGGCTGAAAATAAGTTTTAGACTCTGGTTGCTATGACAAATATTAAGTTGAATTTTAGGTTTTCAAAAATGTTTTCTTTTTTTTTTCTTATTTTGAAAAAAATCATATTCTGCGCAGGTTCTGGTTGGTAATCTGTTAAAATGTTACTAAAGCTGTCAGGCAGTTGTAGTAAAGTGTAAAAAAGTAAAATAAGGAGAAGTTTAAGAATAATTAATCTTTTTCAAGCTGCATATTTTTTTTCTCTTACCTATGCTCCCTTTGTTTTTTTGTTTTTTTAAAAAAGTCACTTCAGCACATTTTATTACTTGGATGCCCTTCTCTTGCACCATCTACTTCTCCTTCATCCTTTTACCACAACCCATATTACTTGTTGCTATATTACAAATATTGACAGTCAGTATGTTTCTATAAAAATACAGAATGGTTTCCAAAAAGCCCTTGAAGCAGTTTGTAGCTCACCACATGCTAACATTAAAACCTGAAAAAATAAACGGTTTTATATATGTAAGATGTTTCCTTTTCATCATCTGTTAAATTGATTTTGTGACCTAATGTGGAACTTTCTGACTCCGCTGGTACAAAAATAAATATCCCCAAAAAGCCATAAAGGCAGTGCTGTCTTGTTGTTGTAATTTTTGCCTTTTTTTTGGTCTGTTTTTAATCATATTGACATCTTCTTTTGTAAGCTGCTGTGACTGTCTGGCTCATATATGTCGGAGGAAGAAGGAGCTGAAGGCAAGGACAGTTTGGCTCGGCTGCCCTGAGAAGTGTGAAGAGAAGTACCCCAAAAATGCCATCAAAAACCAGAAATACAACATCATCACCTTTGTGCCTGGGGTGAGTGGCAGTAGCTCCCACACAACCTGTAGCCTGTTTCAAATTAACTGTCTTGCTTTGGTAACCGAATTCGCATTTCGTGCCCTGATCTTTGCTCTTAATGCAGCAGTTTTTCCTTTTATCGAGTCCATGCTCCCAGTCTTTATAGTGTCTACAGTATCAATTCATCCTTTCAGTTGAAATCAGTTGTTTTTTTTCACTGACTAACAGACTGTAATGCACAGGAGCATTCACTGGATCTCATTGTTAACTATTCTGTCATTAAGTTAAGGGTTTACTCTGTAGGGAACATTAGAGATCCATCAGAGTTACTTATTAAAAAGCAAATGGTTCCTTGATTAAGAGGGCTGCCTTCAGCCCTGGCCATTAAATGTCAACTGTCTATTAGAGACGTAGATATTCTCGTCGACGGTGAACAAAACGGCTGTTTCTCTCCCTCCACTTTGAATTATTAAATACACACGAATTGAGTTAGCAGTTTGCATTTTCCCCTAAAGGTCAGGAGGTTCATTAACTGTAGAGCGTCGTGCATTGATCTCATTGTCTCTGATAATCTGTGACTAGACACTGGACTCTCATTATTGCAAACATTATTCAAAATTTGACCTTAGATGACTAGAATACTGCGATCTCCTTGGTGATAGATGGCACATTAGCAAAGAAGCTTGAGCCGCTCACAAGAGCTACTTTGGTATGTGTAATATAAGAGAGTCTCTGGTGATTTCCACCTGAAATGGTATCTGATTGAGTCAACCTCATGTTGATTTATCAACACAATGCGCCTGTTTTCCTCCTTCGTTTGAAGCTTTGGTCACGCAGTGCAGGATTATTCTTGAAAGTTTTAGGCACTGACATCGTACCTAGTTGCCCTTACATGTGAAATCTGCACCCTGCGTGCCATTTGAAACAGACGTTCTCAAAGTGTCAGAGTTTCCATTAGGTTAATGTAAAGTTAACAGCATTAACATGTATCTTGTTCCCTCTTGGAACGTGTACAGTAACCCATCCCGTCTGGTTTGTTTCTGCCGCTGCATCCTCTTTTATCTTGTCTGCAGCTGTCGTCATCTTTGACTCACCTTGCTGACATGTTCACTCACCTCGCTGAATCTTTGTCTTCTGTCCCCTCTCAGGTTCTCTACCAGCAGTTCAAGTTCTTCCTCAATCTTTATTTTCTAGTGGTGGCCTGCTCACAGTTTGTGCCATCACTGAAAATTGGATACTTGTACACATATTGGGCACCTCTGGTAAATGTTTTTATTTATTTATTTTTGATCTATCAAGTTGTTTGCAACTAAATTAAATGTACAGTGAAGCCAAATTAGTCGTACTGTTGGAATTCAGCAAGAGAATAAACCCATATTTTTCCACTTTTTACTACTGCAACAGTTTTAAGTGAGAACCTGCCCCAATTTGTTAATGTTAAGCAAATGCCAGTGTAGTTTAAATTAATGGATTTTATTATTGATAAAAGTCAGTTTTTAAAGCACTCCTTTGTCGATCAGGGTTTTGTGCTAGCTGTCACAATGGTGCGGGAGGCTGTGGACGAAGTGAGACGTTATCAGCGAGACAAAGAGATGAACTCTCAACTCTACAGCAAACTGACAGTGAGAGGTTAGTGAGACAACTGAAAGAGACCTATTCACCTTCCACCTTATTCTTCTAGCTGTTTGCTGACATTATGAAGACTCTTATTCCAATTATTGAGGCTCCATGCAATTAAAAGATGGCTCTCCACTGGCTTCACACTTGCAACAGAAGTCATTCTTCTCATTGTAATTGCATTGACTCTTTTTTTTTCCCTTCAAATTTATAAACACCTAAGATCTGTGCCTTGTGTTGATCGTAGCACTTCACAGCCACCGTGTACATATGTACATGTTTGTGCATGTAAGCGCAGTGAAAGAGGAAGGTTCTCAGCGGATATTGGGGTGGTTTAATTGAGAGTGACCTTCTATGTCATTGTTTTTGTCTGACTCTGACCAGAGATGAAAACAAAAGGGTATTACGTTATCAAGCTGGAGATAATCAATCAATTAGAAGGTGAGAGGGGGAAAAAAGAGCAATAGCAAAAAGTGGGCTGTGGTTTTAAGAGTCGGCATCATTTCCATGGGCCAAAAATCAATATCTGCATTTTATTTCATGACATAATTCAGTTTGAAGGTATTTCAGAATACAAGTCTAGAGTCTTTCACAATTTCTGTGCTTTTCCTTAGGTAAAATTCAAGTGAAAAGTTCAGACATACAAGTTGGAGACCTGATCATCGTGGAGAAGGTAAATCTCTCCTGTCTTTACCTCTAGATGCCTCTGCACGGAAGGATTCTGAAGGGATTCAGTTAGGTGTATTTGCTTGATAGGTGCTGATTTGACTCATTTTTAAAGCTATTTAAAATATATAAAATAGGAATTTGATAGTTTAGCCAACATTTTTGGAATTTATTTTCATATACTATGAAAAGATGTTTGTTTAAAAGTAAAAGCAACCACAAAAAAGGTTCTAAATTCTTCAAAACATTAGCTTGAGCTAATTTTATAAGCATTTGCATCTTTGCTAACAGGCAGATATTCTAAAACAGATTAATGGATTTGATTTAAACAGTACGGTGGGAAATGTGTTTTATTTTTTAAAAATGATCAATTTGTGATGTTTGGTTCTAGGTCAATTCCAGCTCCAAATTTTTATTCTTGGACTCTTAATATTTTTTTTCCTTCTCTTCCTTTAATGCCACCCTGTCTTTCTAGACCACTTTCATCTGATTGGCTGCTATTCCCAAACAAATTGGTTTGTTTACTAGGAGTTTGTTTCTGTGCTCAAAACCCCAAAACACCTGAAATAACTGTCTGAGGGAAATCCTCTCTCACTGACATCAAACACAGCCAAGAGTATAAAAAAAACAGTCTAAAACAGAGTGTTTAGGGTGAAACTTGTGCTTTTGGGTCCTTTCCTATACACCACTGTTAAAGTGATATATGTGAAGTAAAATGGTGAAAAGCACACTAAGTCCATTTTAACATTTTCATTGCTGTACATTAGATTCACATAAAGTGAAGTCAGGGTATTGACCATATTTAATTATTCAGGACGATTTGGAGGGGTTTTGTCATAGTGCTCAATGACACACCACCTTTAACATTTTCTTCCTTTCTTCTTCTTCTTCTTCTTTTCCTAGAACCAAAGGATTCCTGCAGATATGATTTTCCTGAGGACATCTGAAAAAACTGGTGAGCAGATGAACTCCGGGTCTGTTTTTTTTTTGTTTGTTTGTTTGTTTTTTAAATCAGTCATTGTAAAGCAGGAAATATGTTGGAGACGCAAGTAGATCAGCATTACCTGTACACACCTGTAACGGTATGTTTTCAAAAAAAGTAACGCAAAGAATGCTTACAGTTGAACTTTTGTGTTCTCTGTGGCAGTTCAGCCAGCTGAGTCAAGTGTATTTAGGTGAGAAATGTGACTTTTCCCTACACTTCTAATCCTTTGACAAGTCACCCTGTGATTTATATGATTTGTTCAGGTGACTGACAATGCAAATTCTAATTAATCAATGAACTGCATCAGATCCTGGCTCTTTTCTGAGTGGCATCAGGAGGAAATGTTCAGAGGACATCATTTCCATCAATCTTTGATATGTCAATAAGCTTGGCAGGAAGTTGTTGATGTCTTTGTCTCTAACTCACACACCCACACACATCCACATAAAATAACATATTTCTCTATCGCGCATAGGCTCGTATATTTTGTCTTTCACATACTCATATACACCCTCACATCCCAGTGGTGTCACGTGACAAGCTGACCTGCCATTACTGCAGAGGGAAAGCATGAATCATCCCACTTGTGTTAATGTTTTCCATGATACTTAACCCTCCAGGGATGGTTTATAGTTGCCCTTTTACCCTCTCTGTCAGATAGTTGCTCTCATCCATCAGTTTCATATGTAATATTGCCTCAGATCAATACAGGTCACCACTGCTCAATTTTTATCAGGCTTTGCGGTGTTCACAGCAACCACAGAGGCGTTCTGTTGTGCTACAGGCTCTGTATTAATGCTCAAGTTATTAGATTAAGACAATTTCTATGTGCTGCGAATATGTTTACGTTCTTTAGCACATGGTAATGTGGAAGCATGCTTTTCAAGCATGTTTTTTGGTTCAACAAAGCAGTCTCATGATTTTGGCCTTTAATTGTTTAATCCACAGGATATACTTTTTAAACTTTGGTCACTGTCAGGTTTCTAAAAATGCAAATGTTAAAAAAGTCTATTGCTAATACATAATAACATTATAATGTGTGTTAAAACACAGAAAAATTGTCATTTTCAGAAGAAAAGCGTTTTGGATTAAATGTGAGTTATAATCTATTTGTCTTATATGGGAAGGTCAATTAACACAACAAACCAGTAAGCATGGCTACATGAATAAGTATCTGTACCCCACTTTCAGTGTGAAAGAGCAATGCAAAGTATGCAATCACAACAACTGTGCAGTCTTTGAGAGCTTTTGTGTTTTTCCAGGTTCGTGTTTTATCCGAACAGATCAGCTGGATGGAGAAACAGACTGGAAACTGAAAGTTGCCGTTGGCTGCACACAACGGCTGCCAGCAGTAGGGGTATGGATACGTTAGTGAATCTCTGGTAACAAACTGTCTGTGAATGAGTGTTGAGTTATCACTAACAGCGCTGCTCATCGAATGTCTGTGCTGTGATGGAAACCTAATCACTGATGACAGACAGCAGGAACAGTCTGAACCTGACAGCAGCTTCCTTTAACTGGAGATGATACCCAACACTTCAGATTTGAGTTTTTGTTTTTTTGTTGCCACTTAATGCAATCAGATAATTAAAGTTTTAGCAAGTCATTTGATGATTGAGCCACGGCTTCTGTATTGGGTTTCAAGGCACCCGGAGATGGCACAAGCTTTCTTTAGTTGAGCCAGTTTTTGACTTGTTAACACGCCTCACTTTTATACTTCATTAAAAGATTGTTCATTTGCCAGAGAATATTAGGAGCTAAAGTAAATTGGTTTGATGCGCTTTCACAACAAGAAGGGTTGCTGACTGTGAATAGTTGAGGTCCTAACTAATCAAGTATGTCCCCCATCCTACGTAGAAACTTTTGTAATATAAGCACTAAATTATCATCATGTCTACACCCACTGAGAAGGTATTATAGTTTATATGTTCACAACTCCAGTAAAACATCTGCTAATTATGCTGTTGTTTCTATATTTAAACTAATGACTTTCATCAGGGTCATGTATTGTTCCTCCATCACCATCCACACTTGCTATCTCTAAATCATCGCTGCACCAACTCTGTGCTTCTGTCTCTAAAATGCTGGAGCAACATAACTCTCCATTGGGGGTTCAGTAAAATAATCTTCCCTGCTCCTCTTTAACTGCTCTGCCCATGTTCTCGCTAGGAGAACACTATCTGAGCACAGCTGAGGCCTGCCTAACTGCTGCCCAGGCTCCACGCGCTGCATTCCTGCCTGAATAATTTAATATTTACAATCAATTTTTGTTCCACTAAGAGGGGGGAAGGCTGGTATTGGGTGCTTAACAGGCCTTAGGCTGCAGTCTTATTTGTCAGGGTGACTGAGAGAACAGATGATTGAATGGTCGTGATTCAGTGGTGATTGTTGTGACTTCCTGAGGTTCTTTCCTTCTTTTGTTAATAAGCCAGATCCTACATTTATGGAAGTGCTGTTATCTTAGTACTCCCCTCATTGACTCTGGCAAGATTTAGTAAAACAAACAGAGAATCAACAAAGAAACAAAAGATCCTACTAAAGGTTCTGCTCGTGAAGCAAAATCGGTCTTATTTATTTGAGCAACTGTGCTAAAGTTATTATTACACAACACACTTTGTAGTACATCACATATATATTAACTAAGACTTAAGTTCCAGCAATACATGTTATTTTAAACAATATTTGCTGCAATATCCAATTATTCTGCTCTAATAGCAATTAGTGAGGCTTTTATTTTCAAATTTAAAGTATATTTTTCTAACATATTTTCACATCTTCCAAATAAGGTGTTTAGTTTGAGGGCAACGGACTGTAAAATACTGAAATGCTAACACAGTTTTTACTCTCCCTTGAAAACAGCTGGTCTCTTTTCCATTTGTAGTTTTCAGAGGAATCGCTCACTCATATAACCTAGTTAAATGAGGCTGTGTCTCATTTTCAAACTAATTAAATGGCACCTCTGTCGTGTCTTCTTGTCTCAGGATCTCTTCTCTATCAGCGCCTACGTCTACGCCCAGAAGCCTCAGCTGGACATCCACAGTTTCGAGGGGAATTTCACAAGGGTACAGTAGCTCGTTGACATATTTATAACCTGTAAAACAAATCTCAAAGAAATGCAGATTTTTCTATAGAAAGTGGATTGACATAGAAGATGTGTATCACTGCAATGTGTTGACAAGTGACAACAATAGGGGCTTGTGTGTCCATCTGGGCCTGTTGTTATCTCCAGCAGGCATGCCTCTTACATCACAGGCAGGTTCTTGCAGCTCCAGCTCTATCCATCCTGTCTTGCTTGTTGCTCAGTGATTTTTTTTTTTTCCTTTTTTTTTTTTTTTTTTATTAATAGCAGATTAGCGCAGCCCCCACAGAGAGGAGAGCTCCAGTACAAAGGGGGGCTTTGTGGTCCGTCTTCACTCTTGGCCACACACCAGGCTTAGTGAGCGAGCACTTCCTGCGCTCATTCATCCTCCACGGCCTTCCTTTGCATAGCGTGTGCTTTTAGTCTGAGCAGGATGGGAAAAAAATGGGTTCCCACAGATCCGCAGCAAATGAACTTACCTATTTATGAGAGTTTCTTTCTTTTTTTTTTTTCTTTTCTTGAGACGGATATAGTGGCTTTGTTTCTGCGGTCTTCATTGAGACCCTCTGCAGTTATGAACACCGTACTGTGATGCCAATGTCAGAGCGGTCAAGCATTCTGCAAACTGCCATTTATTTTTCATGCACCTCTTCCCATGTTTGAGTGGATTGACAGGATGTGGGTGCTTAGGTATCATAATTATCATATCGGGCAGGCAATTTGAGCCGAAACTGGAGCCTTGACTCTGCACTCCTGACTCAAGCCATTTTCAGCATTTGTCTTTATTTAAGAGAGAAGGGTGAAACGGGGAGGGTGAAACAAGAGGCTCTCAAGGGGCTTATTTATCACTAAAATCTCATCTACTTGAACACTCTATACTGTTTTTTAAAAGGAGCCTCTATCGCCATGCCAAATCTAGTGAAAGTATAGGTAAGGGGACTACTGTATTGCTATAGTCGGCACAACTGTGCAAGGTGCTTGAGAAAATTAATGGCACAGCAGAGCTCAGCCATCCTGGTCAAGCTATGCACCGTCTGAGCTGGGGTCTCTTAACCATTTCTGTTCTGTCCAAACAAACTTTTCAGCTTTTTCCTTTTAATTATTGTCGAAAAATCTATCAATCAATTGGGAAATGTAGTTTTTTCATTGCAATTTTATTAAATAATGGTTATCAGATGGTACACACTTTTATGTAATAAAGCTAAGATCATTATTATTATTATTATTAAAAAATAAAGTGTAGACCCACTGGTGGTGATCTTGGAGCCTCTTGCACAAAACAAAATAAAGATTTCAGTCATTAGAAATCAGATTAATGTTTTTTACAGTTTGTAAAAGCTGAAATAAAATTAGTCTTCATTATTTTATTTTTGGTGAGAATAAAATGTTTAACTGCAGTAAATTGTCTTTTACTATTAAAGTCACTGGAGTGAAATTCATCTGTGGTGCTACTTTTGTGTTTGTTTGCCTGAGGGCCACACTGAGAAATACTAATTAGAAGGTGGCTAATTGCAGAAATAAATTCACTGCGTCGAGGTATTTCTTTGAAGCTCGAAGCTTCATTGGTTGAAGTTTTCCATGTCTTAGGATTCTTGTTTGCTTTGTTTTTTCTCACACACACAACAAAGTGTCACAAAAAGAAAGAAACAAAAAGCATGTTAAGTTTGTACTAGTAATATGTAGAATTTAATTTGTATCTAAATATAATTTAATTTAATTTCAAACCACCAGTTAAGTTATTTAAAGTCCTAATTATGCCAATTTGTTTATTTGCAGGAAGACACGGACCCACAGATCCATGAGAGTCTCAGCATTGAAAACACTCTTTGGGCCAGCACCGTAGTTGCATCTGGTAAATAAATGAAAACTATTGTAGCCTTTTCATTTTTTTAATTTGAAGTGAATCACAAAAATATTGCTTTAAAAACATCCAGTTTAATTTCACCTTCTGACACCTTTTATTGTTGCTAAACATGCTAAACATCAACCTAAAGATGTGAATGCATGTCCTGTAAATGTTTTCAGAAACATGCACTGACTCATATTTCATTTTTCTTATTTTATGCATTTTCTAAATTTGTTGCTCACACTTCCTGAGTGCAGTGCTCAAGTTTTGCAAAGAGAATTCATGGGTTTAAACCTTGAGCAATCGGTTTGATTTAATAGATATTTGCTTAATAAAACCCACGGTGGAGGTGGTTCTCCTTCAGTTCAGCCAAGCCATTCCTGGCAGAAATGGTTGTGTCAGTTGAGAGTGTTTGTGACGCTCCCAGCGATGGCCACAGCATTGATCTGTGGTGTTGCTCTCCCCTCTGACCTTGACCAGAAGAGCAAACACACACAGTGGCACAGAAAGCCTGACTTAGACTCGTTACATCATCTCTGCTTAGAAATGTCATTGTCCCTCACAAGACTCTTCCTGACAGACACCTCTCTCCTCTACAGTAGCGTTCAGGGCGTTTGATCTGGCCCAGATCACTGTGTATTCACACGGTTACGGGCCTCAGTCCAGCTGTGACAGGAGAATTAGTTGCTCGCATATTCAGATTGAAGCCCCTCTGCATGCTGAGCCACACAGACCATTTGTCACACCGCTCAATATTCCTGGAGTTAGAAGTCAACAGGAGCAATTCATCACCTTTCTCCTCTGATCCTGCTGGTCTCTGTTGTGCCTGCACTTTACTTTCCTTGTGTTTTTTTTTTTTTTTTTTAACCATTTGTAACTTTCTTGCCATTTTTATAGTTTGGGGATTTCAGAGCCTGTATTTAGGTTTATTAGTGTCTTTGCTCTGCCATTAAGCTCATTTAATATTAATGACTCATTAATCCTTTTTAATAAGGCCACTGTAATGAATTGGCAAATAAAGATGGCAGAGTATTGATCAGCTTTTATGAGCTTCCATAGGGTGGCTGAAGGCCCCGAGTGTCTAAGCGTATTAAACTCCTGTCTGTTGGCTTGAGTGGCAATGAGACAAAACTGCCTCAGCTCAGCCTTATTGTGTTTCCTCTCATGCAGTTCATCTTACTTGACCAAGATGAGTGTGTGCATGCATATTTGTGTGTGTTGTGTGCGTGTTTGTGTGTCCGTGTGCGTGTGAGATGGTGGGGGTGAGGTTCAGTTAATGAGCAGCATTACTTTCCTTGTCTCTATCTTTGGCAGGCACGGTGATAGGGGTGGTGATCTACACAGGCAAAGAGACCAGAAGCGTACTGAACACGTCCTATGCCAAGAACAAGGTGAATGCTTTTTTTTTGTTTTTTTTTTAAGGGTTTTTTTCTAGTTTCCTATACAAATAATGTGAAGTGGTATACTAGAAATATAATTATAAATATTTAAACTGTTACAATTAACACTTTATTGTTAAAAATGTGTGAAACTTGCTTAAGATCCTCCTGTTTCCCCCATTTGATTTAGTTACCTCACTAAAATTAAGACAAGCAGCAGAAGAAACAATCATAATTTTTAATGCTGAATCTAGTTTTGTTTTAAGTCCTTCTGTATTGTATCAAATAATGATTTATTTTGGCTGTTTTTAAAGTCACATTGCTGATGTCGGCAGAATTTTGGACAAAATAAAATGTTCCTGTAAACATATCCTCTATAGGTTTACAGCTTACAAGGTATAACTCAGAAACATGGAGTCCCCTTGTGGTGTTTCCATCATAAACATTTAAAAGCTCTAGTGGATAAAACACCTCAAACAAAGTATCGTCTATCCCAAATTCTCCTCATGCCATCGCGTTCCCTCTCACCTCTGATCACTAATCAATCACTACGACAAGATGGTTTTTTAACCTTGACTTTCTAGATAAAGTTGGGCCTGTCAGCGCGAAAGGTCAGTACCATTTGCTAATTAACCAAAAGGGAAATTAACTAACTGAGGATTTAAATGACATTTTCAACACCAAGTTAATCTCAGAGAATCCCCATTGAGCGTTTTGTCTCCGGATTGAAGCGAATAATTTTATGCTAAATATACGATTTTACCTGGAAGATGTTTTGGCTAGATAGACAGAGGTCATCTGATAGAGGCAATAAACAAGATCTCAGAGGTTTTTTTTTTTTCCTTTTCTAGCTAAACTGAATCTACCATGCAGTGACTTTAACACACAAAGTTGTCACTTCCAGCTGTCACCTACTAAAGCTCTCCGTGGCATAACATAACCCCGTCCTGCTGCAGCACCATTTTGACACCAGTGTCTTTTATTTAGAACGCTGATGTGGCCGGTCGAACAGCCGGCCCGTGTTTTGTGTAAGCCCGACAGCTGAGAGGAATTCAATATTTCAAGGAGATGATGTCAGAAGTGCCAATATGGAGACTGGAGATTGGGGGAGAAAGTCGATACAGTGCGGCTAAAGTCACAAGAACGTTTTGGTCTCATATAATCTGTTGTGACACCGGCCAGGACGATGCCCGCGCTTGATCAATCTGACAGGACGTCAGGCGTAGATTCACTCTTTGTTGCTGTATAGTTACAAACTCCTGTCTGAGTAAAGAGGCAGAACATTGTCATTTGACAAGAGGCCACTTCTCAATAAGGATTCTTTGAAGTTTATATCCCAAGTTCCAATACTCAGCTCTCCTCGTGTGTCTCTCAGGGCGAGTTGCTCTGGAAAAATAGAAACCTAAACTTGTTTACTAACCTCTCAAAGATCAATTTTATTTTTCTTGACTTTCTTCTTGGCCACATTTCTAAGCTTTAACCGTTCACTAAGACTGAAGCCCTGATATTCTTTGGGTTTAATTTCATGAATATTCATGTCCCACGTCTGCAGTCCGTCATCAGATATCACACACATGCTAAAATACAAGCCACACAGGCAGATCGAATCATTCCTTTCAGTTTTAATGGCTTGGAGATGAATGGAGTAAAATATGCACTTTTATTCATTGATAGCATCTTTAGGTTGAGGTAATTGAGTCCTTTTTCCCCCCTTGACTGAATGAATAATGACTTCATCTGATCCCCGGCAAGGCTTGGAAAATTTAGACTAGCCATTGTTCAAGCAGAAGGCGATCCTTTGCTTTTCAGGCGTGCACTGTTCTCTCTGTCTTAATTTTTCTTCATTTTAATCCACCCAAACCCGCTATTTTTCTCAATAGCTCAACCATGAACCATGTAGTGAGGCACTGGGGTGGGGAGATGCCCACCCGCTCACTCGGACCCCTTACCCTTCCCCTTTCCCCAGTCTGCTACTGGGAGTTTAACACCAACTGATAAATCAGTCACACTGGTCTCCCAGCTCTCCCAGTCCTCAGGGGAATGGTTTTGGTGGGGGTTTAGGCAGTGGAGGAATTTTGCTGCTTTTTATATATGCCTGCCCCCTCCCCTCCTTTTCAGAGCAGTTCCTTTATTTGAGAGAGGAGAGATGTTATGTTCTGCTGTTTTTGTAAGCGTGGTGCGTCAGATGAAAGCCCTCTGTGTACAGGGCTTTGCTGCGAGCACTGCCAGAAAGGGGAAGGGCGCTTCTTTATTTGACATCTTTTTCCCACATGCTTCATTGGCTGGGAGATACACTCGAAAAATAAAAGACAATTCTGACCCCCTTTTTTGTCTGTTTTTCTTGAGAGCCATCTCAATATGGGAACTTTCTCTGTTTTTGAGGCCTTTTGACCTTCTATTTGTTGCACTGAAAGACAATACTTCAGCATGACAATAATGCAATTTGAAGTTTAGCACAAAGTGGCAGCACCAATAAACTTACTTATGCTGTATACACAGTTTGCATGTTAAAAACCTGCAGCTGAGCTTTGTTTTTGCCCATGTGTCGCATATTGTAAGGTTTTGGTAGCAGATGGGAAAGTAGCAAAGACCCCTTTCTTTTCTTTTCTTTTTAAGTTGCCAGAAAAGGAATAAGATGTTTTATCTGGCGTTGTATTTCAAGTTAATTGAAAAAGTGTCCTACAGTAGAGAATAATTGCTAAAAACAAATGTCACACTTAATCAGATTTTACAGAAATTCCTCTCTAATCGATGAAGCAGGACAGCTATGTTGTAATCGGCCCATTTTGACCTCTATCTTTTCCCCAAAGGTTGGCCTGCTGGACCTGGAGCTGAACCGTCTCACCAAAGCCCTGTTCCTGGCCCAGGTGGTTCTCTCTGTGGTGATGGTTGCACTGCAAGGGTTTGTGGGTCCTTGGTTCCGCAATCTCTTCCGATTTGTTGTGCTTTTCTCCTACATCATCCCCATCAGGTACAGTGTAATTCTCATCAAATAATTATAGCTCTTTCCATCAGGAACATGTGGTATGAACGTAAAAAAAATCATTAAAAAATCGACCTATGCGATCTTTGAAAATGATACTGGTCAAGTCTCAAATACAAACCTCAGAAGACGATCCTCCCACACAGGCAGGTGTAAATGTTCTTACCAAAATAGTTATAATAATGATATTATTTTTAATAATATTATTTTAGAAAAAATAATATTTTGAAGCTTGATCTTACAGTACATTCAAAACAGATTTCCTATCAAATCTTTGTGTTCAAAGTTAAATAGATTTTTGTATGTTGAATTTATTTTGCTTCAGTTGTTGAATTCAAAGTGTTATCTTTTTAATTCAGTTAAGGTTTACTAA